CGAGCGACATCCTGTCACGCATATACGTTCACTCCATTGCGCTGCGAGAGCCCGGAGTACGTTCGCATTACACTCCCGTGCGCGTATATATATATATATATATATGTATATATATATATAACAGTAGTATCATTATTTAACTTCACTAAANGATGAAGTTATCGAAAACGAGCTTGTTCGCTACTCGTGTTGTTCTGTCATTATTTAATTTCTTTGAGGATGAAAGCATACCAAGCGCTAGATGGGTGTGGCATGAGTTGTCAAACCACATCATATGTGAGGCTTGAATCATTAGTCATTGAGAGCATAGGTCTGATGAAAATCAGGTTTTCTCAAAAAAATTGGGATGAAGAATCCCTGGACTAGATCATTTGACTTTTCCTCAAAAAGGATCGTTGGTATTCCGCAGATTGTATATGCCTCGACTAAACCAGGAAACCTTTTTTACCCAAACAATCCTCTGTGTATACACGTGGAAAGAAAGTTCATTTCTTATCCACCCAATGGAATGTTTTGTTATTTATCTGGTCACCAGCCACGTTTAAGCAAAAGATTTCCGCATAGTTCACAATGCACAGAGTACTGTTAACTATTGATTCAGTGCGTCATTTATCACTACGGTTATTCGATAAAAACTGTACGCCACCTTGATTCTAATCGATATTTGCATGCAGTCGAGCAGAATCTAAACCGAGGTGGATGCAGAGCATCATTCATGTGACAAGCTCAGCTCGCATACAGAAGGCTCGATTGGCATTCGCTAACTTGAGACGTCTGTGGTACCGTCGCGACATCCGGCTGTCTGTGAAGGGTCAAGTGTATGCCGCGACAGTTCGGCCAGTCCTGCTATACACAGCAGAAACTTGATCATTAAGAAAACAGGACAAAGATGGACTGTCGGTGTTTGAACACCGCTGTCTACGCGGAATTGCACGAATCTGGTGGGGCAGCCGGACGAGCAATGCTGAGGTCAGGCGAAAAGTTTTAGGCAATCGCGGTCGCCCACTGGAGCAAGTGGTCGACCTCCATAGATTACGTTTCTTCGGGCGCGTTACGCATGTCTCCAAATAGGCTGCCACGGCGAGCGATGTTTGCCGAGGCAGGTAGTGGGTGGAAGAAAGCCAAGTGTGGTCAAGCTAAGACCTGGCATGAGGGTATGAAAACCCTAACCAGGAGTCTAGGCCACACAGGTCCCGTTAGGGTCCCTGGATGGGGACCTTGGGCTGATCGTACCCGATGGCTAGAGACACTGAGTGATATTGTTGGGTGTCGTAAACAGTGGCATTCGTGCATTTTGTCACTTTCTCTGTATCGTTTATCCACTGAACTTTTCAATTTTCTCTTCGATCCTACTTTCAACCTTTCCTGTCTTTCTCCTAATGTTCATCCAAATTTGGTAGCCAAAAGATAGCAACCAAAACCGGCGCACTATATTGCATGGTTAATGGTTGTGCCAACTGNAAGGGTATTACATGAACTATTCGTCGTAGTGTTTGTGATAATTGATTACCACCACATGGCATTATGTCCAGATTATGCTTTATTTGAAACTATGCACTTTTCGACCATCATAACCCCTTGGGTTGGTCTTGAGAATCCGTTTTGATCAAAACAAAAATGAAAGCTACGATCTTAACGCTTGCATAATTATTTGGATACCAGATGGAAAAATTGAAATGGATTAGAACCCGAGATAGGGTAGACTAGCAGCCCAACACAATAAAACCGGGAATCCTTTGTCACAGCTATGCATATTTGAAAAATACTAACAATATTACTTACACTGGAATTGAGCAAGATTTAATTCCGGAATCATCTCGTTGCATCTCAGCAAGCGCATTACTGCAGAACACGTGGTATCAGTTCATTCTTCCGCTTACGTTGTCACCAGGGCAATGCAAGAGCGATGTAGATTTCCTTCGAGCTAGGAGGCGGTCTGCACCTCGCATAGTGTTTAAAGCGAGTTAATTCGGCTCACGGAAGCTCAGAAGCTCAATGGCTACCCAGCAAAGTTCATACAATTGTACAGCGAAAAAGCCGAGCCCAGACCTTCGGAGATGAGAGTAGCAAAATGCGACGTCACCATTCAACTCCCTTCAAAGGTGAGGATGTGGGTCAGCTCATACGAAGACGGTTGGTGGCCTACTTTAGGTTGCACGTATTTGGCAGCAAATCCCATCATTTGCTTCAAAACAACCCAGATTCTGAAGCCCTTGGTGAAATCACCGCCCCATTTGTTCGCTAAATCGCATGTAAGCTATGAATTTCAATGCGCGTGCAGCGCTACCTATGTGGACAGAACAGACAGGCAGTGGCGTACCCGAGTGGCTGAACACATACCGGTATGGGTCGAACGCGAGCGGGTGAAATTGAGCGCTACACAAACAGCCAGGCCATCAAGTCAGACTCACAGAGCAACTGCGTCATCAGTTGATAGCCATTTGCTGCAGACTGGCCACCAAGCTGATCGTGGTACTTCTTGTGGGATTTTTCACTCAAACTCGGCCGCTAAGATTTGCAGAGGCCATAACGAACAAGCACCGAAAGCCCCTAGTATGCCTACAGAAGGTGGTCTACATTAGTGTGGCAGTGACTTGGTGACCACATAAGCGAAAGAATACAATGATACCATGTGAGATTTTCATGCATGTGCGATATACAAACTATTTTGTATTCCTCTTTTTAACAATTTGAGCTGACTATCCTTCGGACTTCACCTTCACGCACAATCCTCAGTTCATCGATTTAACCATACACTCGGAAGCAATAGACTCGTTGCTGTCGGTCCACTTTGAACTGACTATCATTGAAGACGACACCTGGACAAACATGAATTGGCAAATTGGTTCAGCCATGGCATGAGCTGGTTGGAGCAGTAGCAACGCACATACCTTCAATACGATGGGTCCGGAGTTCAAATCCCGGAGAGGACGATGGATATGCACTACTGATGAGCTCTAATAAGAACGAAACTCGAGTATAGTGCTTCCGAGTGTATGGTTGATTCGATGAACTGAGGATTGTGCGTGAAGGTGAAGTCCGAAGGATAGTCAGGTCAAATTATTAAAAAAACAGTTATACCACATTACTACTCACAAGTAACTGTGAGTTAAACTTGAAATATTTTGTATTCCGCAGTAAGCCCCTTGCTGAGGTTCAGCGAAATGATTCCGTAATTAAATTGTGCTCGTTTGCAGTACGTTGTGTGCGTTATTCAAGTTGATTTCGGAAAATAATTGATTTATTATTACTAACGACTATATTGCACAACATTGTTTCCACTTGATCGGCGATCTAATTCTCTAAATATTATTGAGGCACGTGTAAACTAATACAAAGCATAATGTCGGCAACAAAACTGTTTAGAATTTTTCCACCGATAACGTCATAGAATAATTTCTCCGGTGTTTGCCGAATATTTATATTCTCTTTGCAAAACAAAGTCCCATTTCTCAACCTATCCGGTTACGTGAGGTTTGATAACACAGAAATTTTGATGTTAAGTTTAAGTACCGGCAAATTTTCTTGAGGATATTTGTGATACACAATACTTCGTTCATTTCCTAAGATTTCGGACATAAAAACCGACAATTATCAAAAAAAACCTGATGGTGTTTTCTCTAGTAATGTGAGGACAGATGTGGTGGTACTACCAGTAGTAGTAGCAGTGAACCACGACGCAATTGGAAACATTCAATCCAGCCGGATATTTTCAACTAAATCACCTCTAGTTAAACGTTCCTAACAAGACCGCTTCGACAGTCGCAAAGCATTTAACTATGCTGCTCAGAATCCAACAAAGCTAAAACTTACTTGTCCTTCATATAATCCATGTGCCATTGAAATCCGTACAAATTTTTCTCTCTTTCTTCTACCCGCGTAACCAGATCAATCAAAGCCTCATCCAATTGTTGATCCAGTTCTCGGACCAATTTCATACGGGTCTGTTCCACCAAATCTGTCCAGACCAATTTGCGTAACACCGCTCCGGTTGCACTGCCATCTGGACTGGCCGCTGTGGTAACCGAGGCCAGCGGATTCCGGTACGTGGACGATGCACTGGTCGTGAACGAATCGGACTGTCCCAATCCGACTTCATTCATGCTCAGTTCGCGGGAATTATCCGATTCGGATTGAGTACTATCCGCGTTCCATGCAGCAACTCGTCGACGTGCCTGAATATCGTGTATACATGCGTTCCTTTCGCTCATAGATGGATGGTTTCGGAATCGCCGTCAGTGGCCGCTAAAGTCGCGTTCACCCTGGTTTGTGTGTGCGAGAGAGAGTGTATGTAGTAACGGCGATCTCGTGTGCTAATTGACCGATCCACGCCACTACATACACACATATATATTTATATATAATGTGGTTGTCAGTACGCGTGAACATGCACTTGTTGGTCGTTAAACGCCTAGCTAGCCTCCAATAATCATCAAAGCGATATAGTAAGCCAAACAGTTCAAGGACGCGGATGCACGAACCAATCAGAGGCGAGTCATGAATTGAATCATGAACTATACCAGTCGAAAGCGCACATCTAATATCCATAACTATAGAATAAATCAGATGTGGTTTTTTGATGTGTCGAGTAGGTTTATTCCATCAATATTGAATTACAGGTTTTGTAATTCTATCACAGATCTTTTTCAGTTGAAATCTGATTGTGTGGCAGAACAAAACCAGTGACGGTTTGAAACCGTGGTGATAGCCTTTGTACTATATCAGGTCGATTAAATTAGAGCCGAATGACTACAGGTTTCCTCCAGGCTGCTTCAGAGGTTGTGACGGTGGCTCCTTGAACTTCCGAGGAACAAAGAAACTGTCCCATTACACTTGCTAAAATTTGTGGTTAGACGTCGTATCCTAACTATTCCGGCGGCTAATTTCGTTCAGGTGTTCAAAAAAGAACAGTGTGTGAACAATTTCTATTTTATTGTATTGTAAATGACTTGTGCGGGCTACTATGCCTACATTTCAATCAAAAATGTTTTTACCGTTACAATGAGACAAAAACTAAATCAAAATTCTTATACAATAATAATAAAATTAGATGGTATTCATCTTTTATGATTAGTTCGTTACGGATCCTCACCGTTTCAGTGAGAATACGAGCCAGATAGGGAACCGTTGAGTTGCGATAAATGTTTATGCGGGAGAGTAAGCAGCGAAAATTGGATCCGGTTGTAGCGTGGGAACGGAAAACAGATAAATCAGGATTGAGCGGATGACTGGGGTCATTGAGTATCTTATGAGTGAAATGTTCACATGAAGTGATATGCAAATTACACAATTTTGTGATCAGAGTATTTAAAAGAATGAGAGAAACACGGCTGATAATTACTAAACACAGTTTCATGCCTCACTCGAAATTATCATAGCTTGCGTAGTTGAAAAGATAATCGACGCAGTCTACCAACACAAGCAAGCACATGAGAGGACCACCGTAGATTGCTATCTATGGTGACTCTTAGGTATTTGATGGTATATGTTCTGGTGATGGATACGGAGTTGACGACTGAGGGTTCCAAGGGATAATCAGATCGGGAAAAACTAAAAATGCATTCAAAGAATTTAGAAGTATTCAACCGGAGACCGGATTGATTCGAGCATGATTGTACTTGTAGTAAACTGTCGGAAAATGATTCTATGTCCGATTGGTTTGAAATAGCTTGACATAAGACAACATGATGTGCATACTTAAGGCTCTTAGCTGGTGGGATTGAGGGTAAATCACTGATGAAAGTTGCAAATAAGAAGGGAGAGAGCACAGCACCTGAAGGACTTCAGAATTATTCACTAACGGTTTTGAAATAGTACCGTTTGCTTTCGTCCTTTGATCCTTCCTGTGAAATAATCTTTCGACCATTACAACAATTTGGTGGGGCAAAACCGAATGACTCTAACTTCGGCAGGAGAAGAGAGTGTAGAACGGAATCAAAAGCGGAGGAATAGTCAAGGAAAACACTACGAATCGACTTTTGAGAACTATCTAAAGATTTGAAAATGAAGTGCATCTATCTGGCTTGTACGCAAACTGTATGGCGTCCTCAGGAACAATAATACCAGATTGCAAGTGAGCGGAAATAGCGCGCTCTGCAAGTTTAAGTCCAGAGGAAGTGATGGCAATAGGGCGAAAGGGTTTAGATAAAATGCTAGAGGAAGAGGATTTAAGAACGAGAACAATGATGAACAGTCTCCAGGAATCCGGAATCAAACATGTGTAACTGGATTGGTTAATAAATGACGTAAACACCTCTGTGACTAAGCCAGCGCCATATTTGAGCAACGCCGAAGATAAACCGTCGGAGACAACTGCTTTTGTGGTTTTCGTAGTTTTAATAAGATGATAGACCTTCTCATGGGTGACCGGGTCTATTGTAGAAAAGTGATCTGTGGCGTACGCAGACAGGAGATCATTCGAAAAATGAATGAATGCAGCATTGAGGCTGTCCACGTCAATAACTTTGTGTGTTGTCCGTTTCTTCTGTCCGCAAAGCAATCTGATCTCTTGCCATAAGCGTTTTCCATTTCCAGCTCCTAGAAATTGCTTTGCGAATGAAGCATTCAGTCTTTTGATCTCTGCCTTGATTTCCAGTGTGAGGTGTTTGATAGTGGTTGTTTGATGGATCTTGAGCGCCAGTTATTTTTGTCTTCTAAGAGCTTTTAACCGCGGAGAGCATACGCCGCCAGTGTGAATAAAATCTGTTTCCATAGGACAGCATAGATTGAAAATCACACTAGCTGTCTGTGTGAAATGTTCGACAGAAAAGGGAGGCTGTTAAACGGAAAACCATAAAGAGACCATAGCAAGAGATTTCCTCAGGAGATGGAGTCTGTCGGCTGAAAGATTCCGAATTTTTATGTTCATCTGTTTTCTTTGAACAGAAACGGGGTATGCTAACCGAGAGTAGACCTTTTGATCTAAGACATAGGAGACAGTGGTCACTAGACGAATTGGCGCCTTCAGTTTGGGAGAGAAAATATTAGGGTGATTAGTAATAAGCTTGTCCAAAATAGCATTTCCTCTGGTGGACGTTAAAGAGAGATCTGATAGACCGAAAGAAAGTAAAGGTTGGGTTGATCCGTGATTAAAATCACTAGCAATTAAAACCAAATTATCGTCAACTAAGGGAGCAATGAAAGGAATAAATGCATCGTAGAAAGAACTATTTTCAGTTTGTGAGCAAGAACAAGCAATGTATAGATTTGTAATAATTGTGTTCCGATAAGGGAAAAACCTAGGTCGACATGAAACAGCAAGGCAGTCAATACCATAAGATGAGAAAACAAACAATGTTTCAAACTTGCATCAGCAACTGAAGTTAGTGCAGGTTATTACCTCTCCTCCGGATTTTGTTTTGCTTCTTCCTCTGTCTTGTCAAAATTTTGCAAAACCAGGTATGTTGATCATCAAATCGTCTTTTTTTTCAGTTGAGCCACGATTCCTGTAATGCATATCACGCATGTGTTTGTATGCATGCGATGAGTTAGTATATCCGTGAGGTCAGCCAGTTTGCTAAACAGTGAGCAAATGTTGGAACTGATTAATGACGAAACCATCATCTTCACGGGAGTAATGTTTGCGAGCGCAGTCTACCACCTGGCAAACTTTCGTTTCTTGCTCCGAGCAAAAAATCCAGTTCGGGGTCAAAACCATGTGAATTGAATAACACAGAAGAATAGTGAATGTTCTTTAACCGTGGTACTAATTCTCTGGGATACGAACGTCGAAAGAACATGACAGAAGCCAAGCAATAAATTCCAATGCTACAGCGAACACAAATGTAACGCAACCAATCGAAGGGCGCGCTTCTGTTGTTCATTCAGTATCAGATCTGTTCATTATGGCGATATCTAAACGCGGTTTCTTAAGCAAATGAATCACGATGAATGCCTTGATTATATAGATATCTACCGATTAGCGGTTTTCAGCCTTAGCAGTTGTTGTGAAACTGGTAAAATGTCACTAGACGTGGAAACATGCTGCGAGAAACCATATGGACGGAAAACTTAGCTTGATGGTACTTAACTTCCGAGACAACAAACCTTCTTTCATGAAGAACATAGAGGTTTTAAGACTATTTTATGGGAAGCGTCAGCAGCGTCGCCGGACATATAATCCAGCGAGCACTGCCAAGTTTAAACAAACAGAAACTGATGGCGGTAATGTGCTGATCAGTCTCCATTTGATAGATGTGAACTCCTCCAGACAGTCAATGAGTTCGTAATAACAATGCATATTGTTTTAACTTCCGCTCAATGAAAGAGTAGATTAGCGATCCAATGCATCGAGTGTTTCAGGCCTCGTTTATCCTAGGCCTGGATTAGTTCGCGTTCCTGGTGATCAGCGTGAAAGTAGCTCTGGTCCATGCCTAAGCTTCCTGGATGGGAACCAGTGTGATCTAGGAGACAGGACAATATTACATTTTGGCCGAAACCCGTAATACTTCAGCCTTGACCCACATTCCTTTAGCACAACTTTTAGTGATACCGAAATTGGCAAGTCAGATCGATGTCGAAACGTTTTATCTTCTAATATATGTTGATGTTGTGAGATATGGCCAAAAACCTGAGTTTCAGGGATTGTATTCTGATCAACTGACCACCGTAACGCATGACCTTGATTGGAGAAAGTTAAAACGATGCGCTGTAGCTCCTAACTATTGGGCACATCTCACATGGATTAATGCATTATCTGTGAACTAATTTTTAGTGTGCTAAATAATAAGAGAATCAAAGTGTTAAAAACATATACCCGTTTGAATTTACGGAAGGCTACTTTCAACGGGTTATATAAAGAACGATATGGTGGAAGAAATAAAATTTGGTGGTTGGCATGATTGGTCGATTAACAATCAGCAGCAGCTTGATAGAAACCAGTTAAAAACATACCAAATAATCTTTGTATGACATTCGTACTTCAAGATATCGGCGACAGATGAACATGAGCACAACGCCCAAGTTTTTCAATGAGATTCGTTCCATCCATGGATCTCGTGTGATTAACAGATGAACATGTATCGATGTTCACTTTGGGTCTTTTATTGGACTGGAGGCTTTGAACGGTTTTGTGGTTTACATTGGAGAGTTTATAGCTATGGCCATACCATAGGGGACAGTCAGTCTCGTCACTATACACCCTCAATGTTGGGTTATCAGACTGTAGTGACCATTCGACATCCTTCGCTCGTTTTAATTTGACTCTTTCCAA